ACCTGGGGGTGACTGCCTTCCTACCCTGCCACTAGAGGACATGGGGCAACTTGGACATCACAGCTAGGGATGCTCCTGCCACCAAGTGGTGAAAGCCATGGATGGTGTCCAACCTCCTCCCAGGCACAGGGCGGCCACACGCAACAGCCCCAAATTTCAGTAGTGCTGAGGTTGACACACTCTGTAATCACTCTGCCTCGTTTTCCAACTTCATGTTTTCCCTTTGTCTTTTTTTGAGACAGAGTCTCACTCTGTCACCCAGGCTGAAGTGCAGTGGTGTAATCTCAGCTCAATGTAATCTCTGCCTCCCAGGCTCAAGCGATCCTCCTGCCCCAGCCTCCCAAGTAGCTGGGACTACAGGCATGCACCACCATGCCCGGCTAATTATTATTATTTTTTCTGAGACAGAGTTTCACTACTGTTGCCCAGGACGGAGTGCAATGGTACAATCTTATCTCACTGCAATTTCTGTGTCCCACACTCAAGCGATCTTCCCACCTCAGCCTCCCAAGTAGCTGAGATTACAGGCATCCACCACCACACCCGGCTAATTTTTTTATTTTTAGTAGTGTCAGGGTTTCATCATGTTGGCAAGGCCGATCTTGAACTCTTGACCTCAGGTAATCCACCCGCCTCAGCCTCCCAAAGTGCTGGGATTACAGGAGTGAGCCATCACACCCGGCTGAGCAGACAGTCCCTAGTTTTTTGTATTTTTAGTAAGATGGGGTTTCGCCATCTTGCTCAGGCTGGTCTCGAAATCCTAGGCTCAAGTGATCTGACTGTCTTGTCCTTCCAAAGTGCTGGGATTACAGGTGTGAGCCACCACATCCAGCCAACTTCACGTTTTTTCGAAACACGTCTTGTCACCTTTACATTCCCCATTTATTTGTTTACTATCTGCTTTGCTTTACTAGAAGGTAAGCTCCTTGAAGGCAGGGATTTTTATCTGCTCAGTGCCTCAAAGATTGCCAGGAATGCACTAGGTGCTTAATAAACAGATATGTTTTTGAGACAGGGTCTCAGTCTGTCACCCAGGCTGGAGTGCAGGGATATGATCCCAGCTCACTGCTCCTTTGAATTCATAGGCTCACGCAATCTTCCCACCTCAGCCTCCTGAGTAGCTGGGGTTACAGGCACACATCACTACCCCTGGCTAATTTATTTGTTTTTTTTTTTTTTGTAGAGACATGGTCTTGTTATGTTGCCCAGGCTGGAGTGCAGGAATGTGATCACAGCTCACTTCTACTTCGAATTTCTGGGCTCAAGCGATCTTCCCACCTCAGCTTCCTAAGTAGCTGGGACTACAGGAGTGTCGCACCATGCCAAGCTAATTTTTATTTTTTATTTTTGAGATGGAGTCTCATTCTGTCATCCAGGCTGGAATGCAGTGGTGAGATCTCTGCTCACTGCAACCTCCACCTCCTGGGTTCAAGCAATTCTCCTGCCTCAGCCTCTCAAGTAGCTGGGATTACAGGCATGTGCCACCATGCCTGGCTAATTTTTGTATTTTTCTTTTTTTCTTTTTTTTTTTTTTTGAGATGGAGTTTCGCTCTTGTTACCCAGGCTGGAGTGCAATGGCGCGATCTCGGCTCACTGCAACCTCCGCCTCCTGGGTTCAGGCAATTCTCCTGCCTCAGCCTCCTGAGCAGCTGGGATTACAGGCACACGCCACCATGCCCAGGTAATTTTTGGTATTTTTAGTAGAGACGGGGTTTCACCATGTTGACAAGGTTGGTCTCGATCTCTCGACCTTGTGATCCACCCGCCTCGGCCTCCCAAAGTGCTGGGATTACAGGCTTGAGCCACCGTGCCCAGCTAATTTTTGTATTTTTCATAGAGACTGGGTTTTGCCATGTTGGCCAGGCTGTATCTCAAACTCCTGAACTCAAACAACCTGCCTGCCTCCGCCTCCCAAAGTGCTGGGATTACAGACATGAACAACCAAGTGTCCAGCCCAAGCTAATTTAAAAAAAAAAAAAATGTTTTTTGTAGAGACAGGGCCTCACTCTGTCACCTAGGCTGGTCTTGAATGCCTGGCCCCAAGTGATCCTCCCACCTCAGCCTCTCAAAGTGCTGGGATTACAGGCATCAGCCACCATGCCTGGCCTCCATAACTATTTTTGAATGAACAAATGGGGCTCATAAGACCTTCTACAAGGAGATGTTGTTCCAATTAAGTGAGAAAAAGTACCCAGCATATAGTACATGCTCATTAAATAGTGGCATTTTCATTAATTCACTCACTCATCCATCCATTCATTCAGCAATTACTTATTGAACTCCTACTGGGTGTGTGGGGGGTATTTTGTTTTTATTTTTGTTTTTTGACAGAGTTTCAATCTTGTTGCCCAGGCTAGGGTGCAATGGCTCAATCTCTGCTCACTGTAACCTCCACCTCCTCGGTTCAAGCAATTCTCCTGCCTCAGTCTCCTAAGTAGCTGGGATTACAGGTGCTAGCCACCATGCCCAGCTAATTTTTTTGTATTTTTAACAGAGACGGGGTTTCACTATAGTGGCCAGGCTGGTCTCGAACACCTGACCTCAAGTGATCCATCCAACTCAACCTCTCAAAGTGTTGGGATTACAGGTGTGAGCCACAATGCATGACTGGATGTTAGTCTTCACGCTAGGAACTAATGACTTAGATAACAGATGCTAACGGGGGTTGGGGGGGGCGGTCACTGAGGCTAAGATGAAGATGTGCACTCCAGAGTCAAGTCCCAGCCAGGCAGAGCTCCCAGATGGCTACTTTGGGCTGCTGTGGGGTCCCTCTTCCCCAAACTCCTCCTCTGGTACTGACTGGGGTTCAGGTCCTGCAGGAACTACACACAGGGATTTCCATGTCATCAGTGAGGATAATTCTGGAGCAGACCCAAAAGGACAAATTCCCCCTTTTCAGGCCGTGATTCAGGCCTCCAACTACTCAGAGAGGCAGATCGAGTATATAAAGTGCCCCTTGGAGTGAGACCAGCAATGTTTTTTTTTTTTGTTTTTGTTTTTGTTTTTGTTTTTTTTTTTTTTTTAAAGAGAAAAAGAATAATAAGAAAAAGAATAAAGAAGAGGAAGAAAGAGAAAGAGGAAGAGGGAGAGAGAATGGGGGTATTGCTTTGTTGCCCGGGCTAGAATGCAGTCTAAATATGGGTATGCCTATAATTGTCCTTAATAATGGAGACATGAAAGAAAATGAGGGAAGAGAGTAACAAACAAGGAGCCAACCAACATTTCGTTTAAACTTCTAAGCTGATATGATGTGGTACTGATAAGAGTGTATATTTTGTGTAAAGTGGAGAGTTCTATAAATGTTAATTACGTTTACTTGTTCCAGATCTGAGTTCAAGTCCTGGATATCGTTGTTAATTTTCTGTCTCATTGATCTGTCTAATATTAATGTTGAAGTCTCCCACTATTATTGTGTGGGAGTCTAAGTCTCTTTATAAGTCTTGTATGTCTGGGTATTCCTGTATTGGGTGCGTATATATTTAGGACCTTTAACTCTTCTTGTTGTTGCATTGATTCTTTTATCATTATATAATGTCCTTCTTTGCTTCTTTTGATCTTTGTTGCTTTAAATACTATTTTATCAGAGGCAAAAATTGTAACTTCTGCTTTTTATTTATTTATTTTTGCTCTCTGGTTAGTTGGTAAGTCTCTCTCCATCCTTTGTTTTGAGTCTTTGTGTACCCTTGAATGTGAGATGGGTCTGGATGCAGCATACAGTTTTAGTTTTTTGTGCAAATTGTCTGTCTGTCTTTGAATTGGGGAATTTAGTCAATTTAAATTTAGAATTAATAATGATATATATGAGTTTAATACTGCCATTTGCCCATTAGTTGATGTAAATTCTTCATTGTATTGATGTTCTTTACTTTTTGGTATTTTTTAGAAAGGCTGATACTGTTTGTTCCTTTCTATGTGTAGTGGTTCTTTCAGTAGCTCTTGTAAAGCAGGCCTGGTGGTGATGAATTCTCTGAGTGCTTGCTTGTTCACAAAAAACTTTATTTTTCCTTCACTTATGAAGCTTAGTTTGGCTGGATGTAAAATTCTTGGTTGAAAGTTCTTTTCTTTAAGGATGTTGAATATTGGTCCCCACTCTCTTCTGGCTTGTAGGGTTTCTGCTGAGAGATCTGCTGTAAGTCTGATAGGCTTCCCTTTGTGGGTAACCTGACCTTTCTCTCTGGCTGCCCTTAGGATTTTCTCCTTCATTTCAACCCTGGTGAATCTGACGATTATGTGCCTTGGAGTTGCTCTTCTTGAGGAATATCTCTGTGGTGTTCTCTGTATTACCTGGAGTTGAATATTATCCTGCCTTACTAAGTTGGGAAAATTTTCCTGAATAATATCCTGAAGCATATTTTCCAACTTGGATTCATCCTCTTCGTCACATTCAGGTACACCTATCAAGCGTAGATTAGGTCTTTTCACATAGTCCCATATTTCTTGGAGACTTTGCTCATTCCTTTTTATCCTTTTTTCTCTAATCTTGTCTTCTAGTTTTATTTCATTGAGTTGGTCTTCGACCTCTGATATCCTTTCTTCTGCTTCATCAATTCGGCTGTTAAAACTTGTGCATACTTCACGTAGTTCTCGTATTGTGTTTTTCAGCTCCATCAATTCACTTATTTTCCTCTCTAAATTTTGTATTTTTGTTGACATTTCGTCAAACCTTTTTTCAAAGTTCTTAGTTTCTTATATTGTGTTAGAACAAGTTCTTTTAATTCACAGAAGTTTCTCATTATCCACATTTTGAAGCCTGCTTCTGTAATTGGAACACACTCGTTCTCCATCAAGCCTTGTTTCGTTGCTGATGAGGAACTGGGATCCCCTGCTGAGGAAGAGGCGTTCTGATCTTGGGTATTCTCAGCCTTTTTTGACTGTTTTCTTCCCTTCGTTGTAGATTTATCCATCTGTGGTCTTTATAATTACCGTCTTTGTAATTGGGTTTCTGAGTGGACATCCAACTTCTTGATTCTCAGCGCTGAAATCTGAGCAACCCACTGCACCGACTAAATCAGCGGCGTTAAGATTGGTGGTGCTTTTCTGACTCTGCACCGAGAACCGACGCTCTGAGGCGCCGGCAAAACCGCCTCGCCGGTCACAAGAGTCGCGCTGGCGACCCGTGGGGCTCCTCCGCTGGGAATCTCCTGGTGCGTGAGCAACAAGAATTCATGTGAAGGTGTGGCGTCCTCTCATTCTTTGCGTTTTCACTGGGAGCTACAATCCCGAGCTGCTAGTGATCAGCCATCTTGGATCTGAGACCAGCAATGTTTAAAAGGATGGTGGGTTGAGCATGGTGGCTCACACCTGTAATCCCAGCACTTTGGGAGGCCAAGGTGGGCAAATCACTTGAGGTTAGGAGTTCGAGACCAACCTGGCCAATATGGTGAAGCCCCGTCTCTACTGAAAAAAAAATTAGACGGGTGTGGTGAGGCACGCCTGTAATTCTAGCTACTCAGGAGGCTGAGGCATGAGAATCACTTGCATCCAGCAGAAGTCACAGTGAGCCAAAATCGTGCCACTGCTCTCCAACGTGGGCAACAAAGTGAGACCCTGTCTCAAACAAATGAACAAGCAACAACAACAAAACAAATAAAAGGACTGTGGACACCAAAGACACAGTCTGATTGGTAAGTTTCACCCGAGCAGCAGTTCTCAAGCAGGTATGACTTGTCTCCCGAGGCATTTGACAATGTCAGGAAATACATTTTTTCTCTGTTTTTTTTTTTTTTTTTTTTTTTTTTTTCTTGAGACAGAGTTTTACTCTTGTTGCTCAGGCTGGAGTGCAATGGCGCGGTCTCGGCTCACTACAGCCTGTCTCGCAGTTCAAGCAATTCTCCAGTCTCAGCCTCCTGAGTAGCTGGGATTATATGCTCCATGCTAATTTTTGTATTTTTAGTAGAGATGGGGTTTCACCATGTTGGCCATGCTGGTCTTGAGCTCCTGATCTCAAGTCATTCACCTGCCTCGGCCTCTCAAAGTGTTGGGATTACAGGAATGAGACACCACCCCCAGCCAGGAAAGACTTTTGATTGTTCCAACTGGAGGGAAAGGGGTTGCTATTGGTATTGGGTGGGTCTAAAGGCCAGGGATGCCAGTCAACATCCTACAATGCATAGGAGAGGCCCCGTGATAGACAATGATTGGGTCTCAAATAGGTCCACGGTGTTGTCAAGGAAACCTGCCTACCAGCAGCAAAGAGCAAACTAATGGCATACAAATCACTCTGGGTTCTCGTCCAAATGCAGATTCGGTTTCAGTCCATCTGGGATAGGACCTGGGATTTGGTATTAAAAGTTCCCAGGTAGGCTTGGTTCATACCTGTAATCCCAGCACTTTGGGAGGCCAAGGTGGGAGAATCGCTTATTCTCAGGATTTGGAGACCAGCCTGGGCAATATGGTGAAACCCTGTCTCTACAAAAAACTAGCCAGGTGTGGTGGCACATGCCTGTAGTCCCTGAGGTGGGAAGATCACTTAAGACTGGGAGACAGAGGGTACAGTAAGCTGAGATTGCACCACTGCAATCCAGCCTGGGTGACAGAGCCAGGCCCTGTCATCATCATTATAACAGTCCCAGGTGGGCTAGCCATGGTGGCTCATGCCTGTAATCCCAGCACTCTCGGAGGCTGAGGTAGGAGGATATCTCGAGCTCAGGAGTTTGAGACCAGCTTGGGCAACATAGCAAGACCCTGTCTCTATAAACAAACAAACAAAATTAAACATTAGCAGGGTGTAGTTACATATGCCTGTGGTTCCAGCTACTTGGGAGGCTGAGGTGGGAAGATTGCTTGAGCCCAGAATTTCAGTGAGCTAGGCTGCAGTGAGCTATGATTACACCACTGTACTCCAGCCTGGACCAGAGAGAGAGAGAGAGAGAGAGAGAGAGAGAGAGAGAGAGAGAGAGAGAGAAAGAGAAAGAGATGGAGATCCTGTCTCTAAAATAAAAATAATTTTTTAAAAAGTTCCCAGGTGATAGGCTGGGTGCAGTGGCTCACACTTGTAATCCCAGCTCCTTGAGAGGTCAAGACAGGAAAATCACCTGAGGTCAGGAGTTTGAGACCAGTCTGGCCAACATGGTAAAACCCTGTTTCTATTAATAATACAAAAATTAGCAGGGTGTGGTGGCGGGCGCCTGTAATCCCAGCTACTTGGAAGGCTGAGGCAGGAGAATCACTTCAATCCGCGAGGTAGAAGTTGCAGTGAACTATGATTGCGCCACTGCACTCCAGCCTCGGTGACAGAGCAAGACTCCAACTCAAAAAAAAAAAAAAAAAAAAAAAAAAAAAAAAAAAAAAAAAAAGTTCCCAGGTGAAGGCAATGCTCTAAGTCAGTGGGTCACATAGACACCAGAGAACTTGGATGACCCCAAATCAGAGTTTAAAGACCTCAGGATTTTTCTGAGAAGCAAAGCAAAAGCAGGAATAGAAACAAATGGGGAATGATAAGGAACCAGCGATCACAGTAAGAAGTGCATGGTTCAGCTCAGCCTGGGGCTGTTCAAGCAAAGGAACCCAAGAGCAGGCTCCCGGCACCTGCGCTGCGCAGCCTTGGTTCTAGATCTCCGGCTTAACTCTTCCAACTTTCAACCTCCTACCTGCCCCTGGAATCTGATGCCCAAGAAAGACTAAGCAAACCTCATCCCCCACAGAAGAGAACACGATGCCAGGGAAAAGAGGGAGTCACCTGCTGTCCCAAATTAAGGACTTCAACACACTGACATTGCTGGTGTACTGAATATTTGGCAAAGGCTGGGTGCGGTGGCTCACACCTGTAATGCCAGCACTTTGGGAGGCTGAGGCAGGAGGAGTCATCCAATTTGGGGTCATCCAAGGTGTCATGTGTCCATGTGACCCACTGACTTAGAGCATGACCTCATCTGGGAACTTCTTTTTTTTTTTTTTGAGATGGAGTCTTGCTCTGTCACCCAGGCTGGAGTGCAGTGGTGCGACCACAGCTCACTGCAACCTCCACCTCCTGGGTTCAAGTGATTCTCCTGCCTCAGTGTCCTGAGTAGCTGGAATTACAGGCGCCCACCAGTACACCCAGCTAATGGCTTGAGTCCAGGAGTTTGAAAGCAGCCTGGGCAATATAGTGAGACTTTGTCTCTACAAAAATAAGTTAAAAAATTAGCTAAGCATGGCAGTGCACATCTGTAGACCCAGCTACTTGGGAGAAGGAGGTGGGTGGATTGCTTGAGCCCAGGAGGCAGAGGCTGCAGTGAGCTGAGATCACACCATTTCATTCCAGCCTGGGCAACAGAGTGAGATCCTGTCTCAAATAAAAAAAGAAAAGAAAAGAAAGAAAGAAAAAGGTTTTGCAAAAAGCTCATGTCAGCCTCTGCGGAGGACAGCTCATAGGTCACGGAGCTGGATGGGGATTGCCTAACAGAGGAAAAACTCAAAGAGGAACATTCTTGACACCAGGAGTCACCAACAGCTACCTCCAGCCCCATCACCAGCAATGACAGTCCAGAAAGAGGTGGAAAGGAGAAAGAAGGAAAATACACACGTCTGGAGCAGGTAAAGCCAACACATGCAAAACCTGCAGATCAGGTTGCTCAGAGGCGCTTGCCCCAGGTGCGGAGACGCTGCTCTCGCCGCATGGTCTAAGCCCATCCTAGGATCTGTTTGCCCATCTCATTCACCCATTGTTTCTCACCTGGAGGCAATTCTGCCCCCCAGGAGACTCTTAGCCATGTCTGGAGACATTTTTCGTTGTTGCAACCGGAGGCAGGAGGATGGAGGCCAGGGATGCTACTAAATATCCCACAATGCACAGGACAGCCCCTTAGAACAAACAAGTACCTGGCCCCAAATGTTGACAGTGCTGTGAGCCCCAGTTCTGCCAGCCACTGACTGCAGTTTGGACTCTTGCTACAAACAGCACACACGTCTTTTCTAACATGCAGTCGCCACCACCTCCTCCTCAAGTGGAGCTCATTTGCAAAAAGACCAAGTTCTAAATCCCAGCAATGACCTGAGCCATCTGTTTCTGGGAGTCTCTTGAATCCGGTGCTCTTTCTTGAGTAGAGACCCTTCAACTCGCAACCCCACAACCACCAAGGGCCCCAAAAAGCAGAAAACTGGCCTGCTGTGGATAAAATTGTATCCCCGCCACCACCAAATTCATATGTTGCAATCCTACTCCCCCACTTCTGTCCTTTCGGATGTGACCTTATTTGTAAACTGAATCTTTGCGGATGTAAATAAGCTGAGGCCACAAGAGTCTGGTGAGCCCCTAATCCAATATGACTGGTATCCTCATAGAAAGGGGAAATTGGGACCCAGGGCCATGTGAGGATAAGAGATGACCAGAAGCCAGGAGAGATACCTGGACTGGATCATTTCCTGGCGCCTGCATATGGAGCTCAGCCTTGATCTCAGACTTTCATCCTCCAGAACTGCAGGGCAATATGTCTCTGATGGTTAAGCCACCTGGTATGTGGTGCTTTGTCAAGACAGCTCTGGCAAACTCATACATGGCTCGAGTCCAGATGCTGCAGGAGGATTCCCACAATGGCAAAAGAGACTGTTGCCCATTCCAAGTTACTCCAAGAGGCCCTGTGCCCAGGGACCCATCCCTGGTTCTCTCGAGGGAGCCACCCAGCAGAGGGCGAAACAGAACGAGGATGCAGACATGAAAAGAGGCCAGAGGAGTATGATTGAGAGAACATGAAGAAGAGAAAGTGGCTGCCATCCAGGATGATGGATTGGGCCATCAGACTTACCTGAGCTCAGGAAGGGTTTGCCACACAGGGGGCAGCTGGAGGGGCTGGAGAAGGTCCCTTGTACCAGCTGGTGCCCATTGACACACTCTCGCCTCTCTCGGGCATCCTGGCCCTTCTCCTTTAGATGTGCTGGGCTCTTCGCCTGGATGGGACAGAGGTGGGTCTCAGGATGCTAGGATACCCTCTGCAGGGGCTGGCTCTCTCTCTCTCTCTCTCTCTTTCTTTCTCTCTCTCTCTCTCTCTCTCTAAGATCCAGCTGGAGTGCAGTGGTGCAATCTTGGCTCACTGCAACCTCTGCCTCCTGAGTTCAAGCCACTCTCCTGCCTCAGCCTCCCAAGTAGCTGGGATTACAGATGCCCACCACCACACCCATATAATTTTTGTATTTTTAGTAGAGGCAGGGTTTCACCATGTTGGCCAGGCTGGTCTCGAACTCCTGACCTCAGGTGAACCACCCACCTTAGACCCCCAAAGTGCTGGGATTACGGGCGTAAACCACCGTGCCTGGCTGGGGCTGGCCCTCTTAGGTACTAGGCCCTCAGCCCACCACCAGCTCCAATCACAGGGCTCCTCAGCTAAGGGCAGCGTGCCAAGCTGGGGAAGGCAGAGGGGGCCCCCGTGGCTCAGCTGCCCTCACCTTCTCCTTCTGCCTGGTCACCCGACTGCGGAGGCAGCTCAGCCTTCGCTTCACGCTGGTACTCTTGTCACTCTTATTCTTGCCCGCACTGTCCTCGCTCCTGGGGGATGAGAGGGAAGGTCCATCAGAGGGGCCACAGGCCATTCTGAGGCAGCCCTGTGCATTACTCCAGGAATCCACCTGGACTCTGTCTCCCTGTGGCCTCCTGGTCCTCCTTATCCCTTCTAGTCCTTGACTTCCTCCTCCCTCCCTCCTTTGCTCTCTTACTTATTGTGGGAAGTAGAAAAAGTTTCTTTTTAACGTTTCCTTTCTTGTTAAAAAATAAGTGTGCTAATAACTTTGTGAAGCCCTATCCTATGTAGCTGTTACACACGCCATGCTTACAGGCACGTAGTACATTCTATGTCCTTGTAGTTTAACTAAAATATCTGTGCTGGACGTGCTCACAGGCATGTCTCAGCTCTCCATTGTTTTCCCTGTTAGAAAGTTTTAAGTTGTTAGCCAGTAGGGTTTTACTTTACATGGTGAGGTCTGGCTCCAGCCAACAGAAATCAGACACAGCAGTAATAACAACCCCAAATGCCTAAGGAATAAATGTGTGTGTTTTCCTTTGTTCATTGTACTCTCGTGGCACAGTGGTTAGCGAGGATACCCTTCCTACAGTCCAGGAAGTAAAAAATTGCATTGCTGAAAAATCCTTTGTTCAGTGCTAATTTTTCTTTTCTTTTCTTTTCTTTTTTTTTTTTTTGAGATGGAATTTTCGCTCTTGTTGCCCAGGCTGGAGTGCAATGGCACAATCACAGCTCACTACGATCTCTGCCTCCTGGGTTCAAGTAATTCTCCTGCCTCAGCTTCCTGAGTAGCTGGGTTTACAGGCATGCGCCACCATGCCTGGCTAATTTTTTGGTATTTTTAGTAGAGACGGGGTTTCTCCACGTTGGGCAGGCTGGTCTCAAACTCCTGACCTCAGGTGATCCGCCCGCCTTGGCCTCCCAAAGTGCTGGGATTACAGGCATGAGCTGCCGCACCCAGCCTCAGTGCTAATTTTTCTTTGTGGCACCAAGCATCTATTTCCAACACTTATTCATTAGGCAAACATGCACGAATGTTTGCAAAGTTCTGGGAGCTTTGGGGACTGGGTTTGCAGAGGGAAATGCAACACGACCTCAGGTTTAGGTCCCTCCGTGCCTGGCCTGGAAATCTCGGCTCTGCTCACTGCTGATTTTTCCCTCTAATTCATGTCCCCAACCCCCAACTGGTATCTAATTGGCATTTATTTATGTATTTAGTTAGTTATTTTGAGACGGAGTCTCACTCTGTCACCCAGGCTGGAGTGCAGCAGTGCAGTCTCAGCTCACTGCAACCTCCGCCTCCCAGGTTCAAGTGATTCTCATGCCTCAGCCTCCCGAGTAGCTGGGATTACAGGTGCCCAGCTAACTTTTTTTTTTTTTTTTTTGTATTTGTAGTAGAGACGGGGATTCACCATGTTGGCCAGGCTGGTCTTGAACTCCTGACATCAAGTGATCCATTCACCTCAGCCTCCCAAAGTGCTGGGATTACAGGTGTGAGCCACTGCACCTGGCCCTAATTGGTTTTTAAATCCTGATGGTTCTTCTGTCTCCTCCCCCACCCCCAGCTCCATCCCCAGGTCACTGGCATGGCTTCCTGGATTTCAGGCACACCCTCATTTAATAAATATTAGGTCAGTGACATACAAGGCAGACATGATTCCTGCTCTGGTAGGATCTATTTCCTGGGCGGAGATGCCATTCTTCCGGCCTATGCTCCCTGATCCCAGTCTGAGTGGCTTCTGGAACTTTGTAAATATCTGTTTGTTGAATGAATGAGTGAGTAAAAGAGGGAGGGAGGAAAGGAAGGAGAGAGGGATTCCAGGACCTCCAGCACTGCCTGTGGCCTTTATCCTGTCCCCATCCTATCACCAGAACTGATGATGCCAGAAGACCCCACTTTTTTTTTTTTTTTGAGACAGAGTTTCACTCTGTCACCCAGGCTGGAGAGCAGTGGCACAATCTTGGCTCACTGCAACCTCTGCCTCTAAGGTTCAAGTGATTCTCCTAACTCAGTCTCCCGAGTAGCTGGGATTACAGGCACCTGCCATCATGCCTGGCTAATTTTTGTATTTTTACTAGAGATTGGGTTTCCCCATGTTGGCCAGGATGGTCTTGAATTCCTGACCTTAGACAATCCTCCCCCACTGCCCACAGTCTCCCAAAGTGCTGGGATTATAAGCATGAACCACCATACCCGGCCCCCGCTGCTCTTCAGGATAAAGTCTGAGCTCCTTTGTTCACTGAGGTGGTCTGGTCTCTGCTGATTTCTCCCCTCTTCCCTCCTCCCCACCCCACTCCGATGTCATTCTCTAAGCCTTTAGTTCCATTTTGTTTCCTTCATCCTCATCTGCACATACTGGCAAACTCCTACTCTTCTGTCAGAACCCTGCTTACATTGTCACCTCCTCCAAGAAGTCTTCCTCTGTCCTCTCAGGGTATATGAGAGCCTCACCCCTCCCTTCCTTGCCAGCTCCCACCATTGCCCTGATGAGGACTCCTGTTCCTGCCCCCAGCAAGGGGGCTTGGCCCAGAGAGGACGCTCCGTAAACACTTGTTGGAATCCAAGGCGGCCCTCCCCTGCAGTTCTCACTTGCAGCAGATCTGTGTACTTACTCCGACAGGAACTCAAACCAGGTCAGGCTCGAGTGGGGTCCGCCGGGGCTGGTTGACATGCAAGCCCTCTGCCGGGCCCTGCGGGATCAGAGGGGACAGATACCGGGGTCGGCAGCCTGCTCTCCCACTCACCAACCCAGTGCTGCTAAGCACAGGCGTGCTCCAGGTGCCCCATCTAAGAGCCCACCCTTTCTTGACACTTTAGGCTTGCATATGGGACTTTATGACAGGTTTTCCAGCAGGGAGCAGTAACTTATGTCGGCTGAACAAAATCAGCGTATCGGGAAGTTTTGTTTTTGTTTTTGTTTTTGTTTTTGAATAGAGATGGGGTCTCGCTCTGTTGCCCAGGCTGGAGTGCAGCAGTGCAATCATAGCTCACTGCAGCCTCAACCTCCTGGGCTCGAGTGATCCTCCTGCTTCAGTCTCCCGAGTAGCTGGGACGATAGGCAGGTGCCACCATGCCTGGCTAATTTTTATTTTTATTTTATTTTATATTTATTTATTTTGAGGTGGAGATTCACTCTTATTGCCCAGGCTGGAGTGCAATGGTGCGATCTCTGCTCACCACATCCCCCACCTCCTGGGTTCAAGTGTTTCTCCTGCCTTAGCCTTCCAAGTGTCTGGGATTATAGGCATGCACCACCAGGTCTGGCTCCTTTTTCTTTCTTTTTTTTTTAACCAATTACTTAAGTCTGACACAATTTCTTTCCTTTTCTTTCTTTTTCTTTCTTTTTTTTCTTTTTTTTTTTTTTTTGAGATGGAGTCTCATTCTGTTGCCCAGGCTGGAGTGCAGTGGCTTGATCTCGCTCACTGCAACCTCCACCTCCTGAGTTTAAGTGAGTCTCCTGCCTCAGTCTCCTGAGTAGCTAGATTACAGCACCCACCATTACACCCAGCTAATTTTTTGTATTTTTAGTAGAGATGGAGGGTTTCACCAAGTTGGCCAGGCTGGTCTCAAACGCCTGACCTTGTGCTTCACCCGCCTCAGCCTCCCAAAGTGCTGGGATTACAGGCATGAGCTACCATGCCTGGCCACAAACTGTTGTTGCTGTTGTTGTTTTTAATTAATTTAAATTTTAAAAATATTAATTTAAAAAAAATACAGGGTCTTGCTCTGTCGCCCAGGCGGGTGTGCAGTGGCATGATCATGGCTCACGGCAGCCTTCACTGCCTGGGTTCAAGCCATTCTCCTGTGTAAAACCCAGTCACCTCCCAGAATAGCTGGGGCTACAGATATGTGCCACCATGCCCAGCTAATTAAAAACAAATTTATAGAGACAGAGTCTCACTCTGTTGCCCAGGCTGGTCTCAAACTCCTGGGCTCAAACAATACTCCCACCTCAGCCTCCCAAACTTCTGGGATTACAGGCATGAGCCACCTCACCCAGCAAATTTTTAATTATTGTTTGTAGAGATAGATCTTGCTGTGTTTCCCAAGATGGTCTCAAACTCCCGGCCTCCAAATAATGCTCCCACCTTGGCCTCCCAAAGGGTTGGATTTACAGTGGTGTGAGCCACTGCACCTGCTACAGGAAGAGTTTGTAACAGATGGCAGTGTCCTGGGCAGGTGGCACCTTTATCTGTTTGCTCCAAGGGACCCCGTGTCAGTGGCAGCCTGCTCCTCTCCAGCCCTTGTCTTCTATCCTCCTCCCTCCTCTCCTTCCCTATTTTTCTTCCCTTGAACCCAGCCTTTTCTGTTTTCTTTTCTTTTTCTTTTCTTTTTTTTTTTTTTTTTTTTTTTTTTTACACGGTCTCACTGTGTTGCCCAGGCTGGAGTGCAATGGCATGATCTCGGCTCATCACAACCTCTGCCTCCTGGGTTCAGGCGATTCTCCTGCCTCAGCCTCCCGAGTAGCTGAATTATAGGTAAGTGCCACCATGCCCGGCTAATTTTTGTATTTTTAGTAGAGACAAGGTTTCTCCATGTTGGTCAGGCTGATCTCGAACTCCCAACCTCAGGTGATCCACCCACTTTGGCCCCTCAAAGTGCTGGGATTAAAGGCGTGAGCACCATACCCGGCCCTTTTTATTTCTTCTTCTTCTTTTGAGACAGAGTCTCGCTGTGTTGCCCAGGCTGGAGTGCAATGGTGCAATCTCGGCTCACTGCAACCTCTGCCTCCTGGGTTCAAGTGATTCTCCTCCCTCAGCCTTCCGAGTACCTGGGATTACAGGTGCCTGCCACCATACCTGGCTAGTTTTTATATTTTTAGTAGAGATGGGGGTTTCACCATGTTGGTCAGGCTGGTCTCGAACTCCTGGCCTCAGGTGAGCCACCGTGCCTGGCCCTCACCCAGTCTTTTCTACCCCATCTCCCACATATGTGCATGCCCCAGCCTGCCTCCTGCTCTCGTCTCGCACTTTGTTCCCCTCTTCCCTCATGCCTGTCCCGACTCCCACTTACCCATGGTACTGTCGAAGTTCTTGAAGCACCTGCTGGACAATCAGCCTGCGGGGGTGGGAGCAGGATTAGAGCAGCCCTCGGTGGCCCCAAGTTACAGACACTCTCCCGGAGACAAACTGGGGTTGCCCATCCAGGCCTCAGGTGGCTCATGCCTATAATCCCAGAACTTTGGGAGGCCGAGGTGGGTGGATCACTTGAAGTCAGAGGTTCAAGACCAGCCTGACCAACACGGTGAAACCCTGTCTCTACAAGACATACAAAAACTAGCTGGGCATGGTGGTGGGCGCCTGTAGTCCTAGCTACTCTGGAGACTGATGCAGGAGAATCTCTTGAACCTGGGAGGCAGAGGCTGCAGTGAGCTGCGATCACATCACTGCACTCCAGCCTGCGTCACAGAGCGAAACTCTGTCTCACGCACACGCCTGAAAAGTCACAATTACCTCTCAAGGCAACATTGAGAACCTTTTTGAGGGGCTTGGATCCCTCCCCCAGGGAAGACGGATGGTGTCAGAAAGAAGATAAGGTTATAGTGGACTAGTGGGATGGTACCAGGCCCTGGTCACTTACAGGCAGCACTCTGCACCCTGGCTCCCCTCCTCCCCAAGCCCTGACTGTCTGGCCTGTCCACTGGGGGTCCCTCCCCCACCACAAGGCAGAAACTCACACATGATCTGGCTCCACGTGGTCTTTTTCCATGCACTCCAGCACTGGAGGTTCTAGGCCTGGAAGAAGCCCCCGTCCCAGGAAGCACAGTTGTGAGGGGCTCTGGGACAGGACCAGCCCAGCAGGGCCCTCCCGGATACCACCCTGGGCCCCTGCAGAACGGGAGGACATGCAGACAGAGCCTGTGCTCTCAGGGAACAGAGACGAGAAGAGGACAGAGAGCCAGGGACAAACTCAGGTGTCCCCAGTGTCTCGGGAGTGCTTACAACCTATGAAGTGCTTTACATGTGTGAGCTCAGCAGACTCTCTGAGTGGCCTTAAGGAGATACGCTTATTGTCCCCACTCACCTTTTTTCTTCTTCTTTTTTTTTTTTGAGATGGAGTCTCACTGTATTGCCCAGGCTGGAGTGCAGTGGCGTGATCTGAGTTCACTGCAACCTTTGCCTCCCAGGTTTAAGCAATTCTCCTGCCTCAGCCTCCCAAGTAGCTGGGATTACAGGTACCTGTCACCACACCCGGCTGACTTTTTATTTTTAGTAGAGACAGGGTTTCACCATATTGGCCAGGAGTTTGAGACCATATAATTCACCATATTATCATGCTTATAATCCCAGCACTTTGGGAGGCCAAGGCAGGCAGATCACTTGAGGCCAGGAGTTCGAGACCAGCCCTGTCAACATGGCAAAACCCTGTCTCTATCAAAAATACAGAAACTAGCTGGGCATGGTGGCAGTGCTTGTGGTCCCAGCTACTTGTGAGGCTGAGGCAGGAGAATTGCTTGAACTGGCGAGGTGGAGGTTGCAGTGAGCCAAGGCTGCACCACTGCACTCCAACCTGGGTGACAGAGTGAGACTCCATCTCAAAAAAAGTAATAATCAGCCAGGCGCAGTGGCTCACACCTGTAATCCCAGCACTTTGGGAGGCCGAGGCGGGCAGATCACGAGGTCAAGAGAGGGAGACCATCATGGCCAACATGGTGAAAACCGGTCTCTACCAAAAATACAAAAATTAGCTGGGTATGGTGGCATGCACCTGTAGTCCCAGCACTCGGGAGGCTGAGGCAGGAGAATGGCTTGAACCTGTGAGGCAGAGCTTGCAGTGAGCTGAGATGGTGCCATTGCACTCCAGCCTGGGCAACAAGAGTGAAATCCAGTCTCAAAAATAGTAATGATAACAATAATAATAATAGAGGAGAGAGTCTTGGGGACAAGATCATTGCAATGGGCAGTGTCACACTGGCTCAAGGGCTGCGGGGAGAGGAGGAGGGACAGATGCTGGAGGTCCCTTCCCCTCTCTGGCTTCCCTCAGTGTTCTGCTCAGTCCCTGCAGAACAATTCCCTGGGTCCCATCTGGAGCCCCATCAAGCGGCCCGTCAGGAGGAACCCCCTCCCTGCCTCCTCACCCCCAACCTGGTTTGAATGAAGGAAGCTCCCAGGCTGGCTACCTTGAACAGGTGGAGTGACCACTTCCAAACCCGGAGAGAGTTCCAGGGAGCGGATCTCATAGAAGGACCCAGGAACAGACCTTGACCTCACTGTTTTCTTGGGGCTATCACATTCCTGCAGGGAATTAAACATCTCACTAAGCTGGGAAGGCAGCCTGGACTGCAGGCAGGTTCCCCAGGTTGAGGGTCCCCAGCCACAGCCAGGGGACACCTCCGGGGAAATGGACGACACACTCATCCAAGCCCCAACCTCCAACCAACCTCCCCTGGACAGAGCATGGGTTCTGCCACTCCCTCCGCAGCCACTGCAGAGGGCTGTAGTCCTGATCAAGGAGCCCCCAGTTATGACCTGGAGCCCCAAATATCAGAGCTACAGGTTCCAACAATGGCCAGGAATTTCCCCAAGGGTCATTTGTGGTCACAGTCAAAGATGTCCCAGCCATCGGCCACAGCTCCAAGCATGCATCTCTCCACATTTGCACCTCAGATCTCAGGTCAGAGACAAATTCTCCCTAGCTGCAGACCCCAGCCACAGACACAGCTGCCTTCCAGCTACAGGCTACACTCCCAGATCAGACACCCCGAATCAACTTTCCTGCAGCCCCTGGGTTGCCGTCATGACCCTGCATAGCCTGCCCTAGATACTTACCCAGAGAAAACCCTTCAGGCCTGGGCTGGAATCTTAGGACCCAGAGACGCCCGAGGCATGATCCGCACCATAGGCAAGCAGCCCTCACCCGCCATGGCAGGTAACCCTCACGAGCCCTGGCAAGTCTCTCCTTCCTACCCATAGCAATGGCTTCTGGGCCCAAAAGTGTGCTATTGCCAGGGGTGGCTGCAGGCTACACCCACCTTGCCTGGGCTTTCTGCAGGGGTCCCACCCCCAGACAGACATCCTTGGGTCCAAGTCTTCAGTCCTCCTCCCGGCAGGTTCAAAGTGAGGCTGGCCAGTGTTCGAGGGAGGCAGGGTTCCTCATCCACAGCGGAGGCATCAAGGCTGAGCCTGGTGGGAGAGGACCGGGTACTGGGGCTTCAGCAGGTCTTGGTCACCTGGCTGCTGCCCCAGGCATCCGGGGGATGGGGCTTGAGAGAACCTGTAAGGGGGCCCTTCCAGGACAGGGAAGGGTGCGGAGGCCACAGAGAGGGGTCCAGACCTCCCAATATCAGAGGACTCGGTGACAAGGAGGTGGGGGAGAAGAAAGCCAACCTGGTGAGATTTGTTGGAGCTACATTTGTATCTCAGACCGTTTTTGCACAGACTGGATTTCCTCTTTCTTTCTTTCCTTCCTTTCTTTTCTTTCTTTCTCTTTCTTTCCTTCTTTCCTTCTTTTTCTTTCTTTCCTTCTTTCATTTTTTCTTTTTTTCCTTCCTTCCTTCATTCCTTCTTTCCTTCCTTCCTTTCCTCCCTCCCTCTTTTCTTTTCTCCTTCCTTCCTCTCTCTCTCTCTCTCTCTCTCTCTGACAGAATCTTGCTCTGTCACCCAGGCTGGAGTGCAATGGCGCGATCTCAGCTCACTGCAACCTCTGCCTCCCAGATTCAAGCAATTCTCCTGCCTTAGCCTCCCGAGTAGCTAGGATTACAGGCATGTGCCACCATGCCCAGCTAATATTTATATTTTTAGTAGAGATGGGGGTTTACCATGTTGGCCAGGCTGTTCTCGAACTCCTGACCTCAAGTGATCCAACCACTTCAGCCTCTCCAAGTGCTGTATTTATAGCTGCTCCCCATCGCTGGCATGACCACCTGAGCTTCGCCTCCTGTCAGATGAGTGGCAGCATTAGATTCTCAAAGAAGCGGGGGCATGGTGGCTCACGCCTGTAATTCCAGCACTTGGGAGGCTGAGGCAGGCAGATTTCCTGAGGTCAGGAGCTCAAGACCAGTCTGGCCAACATGGTGAAACCATGTTTCTACTAAAACTATAAAAAGTTAGCTGGGTGTGGTGATGTGAGCCTGTACTCCTGACTGCTTGGGAGCCTGAGGCAGGAGAATTGCTTGAACCTGGGAGGTGGAGGTTGTAGTGAGCCAAGATTGCACCACTGCACTCCAGCCTGAGCCACAGAGTGAGATTCTGTCTCAAAAAAAAAAAAAAAAAAAAAAAAAAAAAAAAAAAAAAAAGTATCATAGGAGCCAGAACCCTATTGTGAACCACACATGTGGGGCATCTAGGTTGCATGCTCCTTATGACAATCTAGGCTGGGTGCAGTGGCTTATGCCTGTAATCCCAGCACTTTGGGAGGCTGAGGCAGGAGGATCACTTGACATCAGGAGTTTGAGACCAGCCTGGCCAACATGGTGAAACCCCATCTCTACTAAAAAGACAAAAATTAGCCAGGTGTGGTGGTGCACACCTGTAATCCCAGCTACTCAGGAGGCTGAGGCAGGAGAATCACTTGAACTCGGGAGGTGGAGGTAGCAGTGAGCTGAGATCGCATCACTTCATTCCAGCCTGGGTGACAGAGTGAGACTCCATCTCAAAAAAAGAAAGACTCAAATGGCTAATGATCTGTTACCGTCTCCCTCCCATCATCCCGAGATGGGACCATCTAGTGCAGGAGAACAAACTCAAGGCTTCCACTGATTCTACATTATGGTGAGTTATATAATTATTTCACTATGTATTACAATGTAATAATAATGTAAGTAAAGTGCATGATAAATGGCATGTGCTTGAATTATCCGGAAACTATCCCCTGTCCCCCTGGGTCCATGGAAAAACTGTCTTCCATGAAACCAGTCCCTGGTGCTGAAAGGCTGGGGACCACGGCAGGTGCAAGGAGCAGCTTGTCCTAGGACCTGGCTCTGGCCTTCTGGACCGCTGCCCTATCATGGAGGTGCACTGTGGGAGGCAGGTGTCGTGGGCAACTGACCTCCGCCAGCTCTCTGAGCAGCTCCGTGACCTCTCCCAGCTGCGCCGCCTTGACTGGTCCTGGGACTCTTTTAAGCTGGAAAAGACAGAATCCCTTTCTGCTTCTTCACCTGGGGGGCGGCTGTCCGGGGCCTCCCCAGGCTGGCTGTGGGAAGGGGCCCCAATGCCCAGGTCCTGCAGATACTCGCTGCCCTGAAGGGTCCCCAGATCCAGGCTGAGGTCCTCTGCACTCTCACTGAGCCGCTTCGGAAAATCATCCTCCTGTAGGATGGGGAAGGAGGGAGAAGAAGACATTGATCAAGGGGTAGCAGAGCCTGGGGTCTCTTGACCTGCTCCTAACATCAAGACCCTGCCCGTCCCCCACCTGTGCATCTTGGGCTCAGTGCCCTTCTCACAGCGGGTGGGATGGAATGGGAAGGAGGAGTCCCCCCAGTGCTCTGTCTAACCTGGACCTTCAAGGTCTCATCCCTGCAAAAGGACCAGAAGTCTGGTCTTCCACACCAGATCCCCCTACTTCTAGCCTTGGCAAAGCACTGCATGTCACTGAGTTTCCGTCTGATTATCTTTTTTTTTTTGGAGACATAGTCTCACTCTGTTGGCCAGGCTGGAATTGGAATGCAGTGGTGCAATCTCAGCTCACATTGCAATCTCCAACTCCTGGGTTCAAGCGATCGTCCTACCTCAGCCTCCTGGGTAGCTAAGACTGCAGGTACCCACCAGCACGCCCAGCTAATTTTTGTGTGTGTATTTTTAATAGAGACAGGGTTTTACCATGTTGGCCAGGCTGGTCTCAAACTCCTGATGTCAAGTGATCCTCCTGCCTTGGCCTCCCAAAGTACTGGGATTACAGGGGTGAGCCACTGCGTCTGCCCTGCCTGCTCACCAGCTTGTTAAAGCTCACAAAGGGGTCCAGATGAGGTGGCTCATACCTGCAATCCTAATGCTGTGGGAAGCCAAGGCAGAAAGATCGCTTGAGGCCAGGAGTGTCAGACTAAATTGGGCAACATATCAAGACTCCATCTCTACAGAAAAATTTAGGTTGGGTGTGGTGGCGCATGCCTGTAATCCCAGCACTTTGGGAGGCCAAGATGGGTGGATCGCAAGGTCAAGAGATCAAGACCATCCTGACCAATGTGGTGAAACCCCGTTGCTACTAAAAATACACAGATTAGCTGGGCCTGGTGACACATGCCAGTAGTCCCAGCTACTCGGGAGGCTGAGGCAGGAGAATCTCTTGAACCTGGTAAGTGGAGGTTATAGTGAGCCGAGATCATGACACTGCACTCTAGCCTGGTGACAGCAAGACTCTGTCTGAAAAAAAAAATTTTTTTTTTTTTTTAAATTAGCTGAGCTTGGTGATGTGTGCCTGTTGTCCCAGCTAATCAGGAGGCTAACGAGGGAGGATCACTTGAATCCAGGAGTTTGAGGCTGTAGTGAGCTATGATCATACCACTGCACTCCAGCCTGGGCAACAAAGTGAGACCCTGTCTATAAAATAATAATAATAATAAGGCTCATAAAATAGTACATCTGTTTATTTGCAAAATCGCCACATGGAGGTAAGTTACGCTTGATGCTAGTGGTGCAATTTCAGGCAGTGTTGGGGTTCGTAACCTTACCCCTGTGCTGCTTGGAATGCCTCCTCGAAGGTCTCCTGAAACCTTTTTTGGGGGCAAGGGAGGAGCCTCGCACTGTCACCAGGCTGGAGTACGAGTGCAATGGCGCGAACTTGGCTCACCGCAACCTCTGCCTCCCGGGTTCAAGCAGTTCTCCTGCCTTAGCTTCCTGAGTAGCTGGGATTACAGGTACCCGCCACCATGCCTGGCTAATTTTTGTATTTTTAGTAGATTTGGGGTTTCACTATGTTGGCCAGGCTGGTCTCGAACTCCTGATCTCATGATCCGCCCACCTCAGCCCTCCAAAGTGCTGATACTACAGGCATGAGCCACCATAGCCAGCTTAACTTTGAAAAATGCTGCACAGGAATATTATTTATCTTTTTGTTTGTTTGTTTTGAGACAGAGTCTCACTCTGTTGCCCAGGTTGGAGTGCAGTGGTGCAATCTCACCTCACTGCAACCTGCACCTCACCGGTTCAAGTGATTCTCCTGCCTCAGCCTCCCAAGTAGCTGCGATTATAGGTTCACACCACAAGGCCTGGCAAATTTTTGTATTTTTTTTTAGTAGAAATGGGGTTTCCCCATGTTGGCCAGGCTGGTCTCAATCTCTTGACCTCAAGTGATCCACCCGCCTTGGCCTCCCAAAGTGCTGGGATAACAGGTATGAGCCACTGTCCCTGGCCTGAATACTATTTATCCTAATGCCTTTTTAAGGCATCTTCTTAAATTTTATGTCTGAGGCAAGTGTCTCACCCTTATCCTGGCTTGGGAGGGAGACTCCCTCCTCAGCCTCCTCAGTAGCTGGGATCTTACTTCACTGCAACCTCCACCTCTTGGGTTCAAGTGATTTTTCTGCCTCAGCCTCTGAGTAGCTGGGATTACAGGTACCTGCCACGACCCCGAGCTAGTTTTTGCATTTTTAGTAGAGACGGTGTTTTACCATGTTGGCCAGGCTGATTTCAAACTCCTGACCTCAGGTAATTCACCTGCCTCAGCCTCCCAAAGTGCTGGGACTATAGGCATGCGCCAGCACACCTGGTGAATTTTTATATATATATATATTTTTTAGTAGAGAGGGGATTTCATGATGTTGGCCAGGATGGTTTTGAACTCCTGAACTCAAGTGATCCACCTGCCTCGGTCTCCCAAAGTGTTGAGATTACAGGCATTAGCACCCGGGCCCATATCTTAATTTTTTTTTTTTTTTGACAGAGTCTCGTTCTGTCACCCAGGCTGGAGTGCAGTGGTGCGATCTCGGCTCACTGCAACCTCTGTCTCCTGGGTTCAAGTGATTCTCCTGCCTCAGCCTCCTGAGTAGCTGGGATTATAGGTGCATGCTACCACGCCCAGCTAATTTTTCTATTTTTAGTAGAGACAGGGTTTCACCATGTTGGTCAGGCTAGTCTCAAACTCCTAAACTCAGCCTCCCAAAGTGTTGGGATTATAGGTGAGCCATGATACCTCGGCCCACATCTTAACCATTTTTAAGTGTCCAGTTCAGCATCATTAAGCACATTCCCATTGCTGTGAAACCATCATCTCCATCTAGCTCCAGAACTTCCTCATCTTCCCAAACTAAAATGCTGTGCCCATGAAACACTCCCTCCTCACTCCCCTCCGCAGCCCCTGGGGCTTTCCACCCTTCCATGAACTGCCTGGGAATCCCACCAATTTGGGAGGATCGCTTGAGCCCAGGAGTTTGAGACCAGCCTGGACAACATAGCAAGACCCCATCTCTACACAAATTTATAAAGTGAGCTGAGCATGGTGGCAGGTTCCTGTAGTCCCAGTTACTTGGGAGGCTGAGGTGGGAGGATTACTGGATACTGGGAGGTTGAAGCTACAGTGAGCTGTGATCATGCTATTGCACTCCGGACTGGGAAACAGAGCAAGACCCTGTCTCCAAAAAAAAAAAAAAAAGTGTCTGGGCGGTGGGGAGTAAATCTATGAACCCGACAAGTCCAGAGGCCTCCTACAAGTGGAATCAGACAGTGTTTGTCCTTTTATGTCTGGTTCATTTCACCAGCATAACGTCCGCAAGGTTCCACCACATTGCAGCACGTGTCAGAATTTCCTTCCTTTTTAAGGCAGGATCATATTCTATTGTATGGATGGACCACGTCGCATTTACTCGTGGGAAGTAGAAAAGTTCGTTTTAAGTGTGCTAATAACTTTGTGAAGCCCTGTCCTATGTAGCTGTTAGACATGCCATGCTTACAGGCACGTAGTACACTCTAGGTCAGGCGTCCCCAAACTTTTTACACAGGGGGCCAGTTCACTGTCCCTCAGACCATTGGAGGGCCGCCACATACTGTGCTCCTCTCACTGACCACCAATGAAAGAGGTGCCCCTTCCTGAAGTGTGGCAGGGGGCCAGATAAATGGCCTCAGGGGGCCGCATGCGGCCCGCGGGCCGTAGTTTGGGGACGCCTGCTCTATGTCCTTGTACTTTAACCAAGATATCTGTGCTGGACGTGCTCACAGGCATGCCCCAGCTCTCCATTGCTTTTACCTGTTTAGAAAAGTTTTAATTATTAGCCAATCAGGTTTTAGTTTAGATTGTGAGGTCTGGCTCCAGCCAACAGAGATCAGACACAGCAGTAAAAACAACCCCAAATGTGTAAGGAATAAATGTGTGTGTTTTCCTTTGTTCACTGTACTCTTGTGGCAAAATGGCTAGCAAGGGTACACTTCCTGCAGTCCAGGAAGTAAAAAGTGTGTTGCTAAAAAATCCTTTGTCTCAGTGCTGATTTTTCTTTGCAGCACTGAGCATCTATTTCTAACATTCATCCATCCATCAGCAGACACCTGGACTTTTTCCATCTGTTGGCTCTTGTGAATAACGCTGCTATGAACATTGGTGTGCAAATATCTGTGAGTGCCTGCTCTCAGTTCTTCCAGGAAGATACCCAGAAGTGGAATTGCTGTATCATATGGTAATTTTATTTTTATATTTATGTTATTTTTTTTTTTGTTTTGAGACAGAGTCTCCCTCTGTCGCCATGGCTGGAGTGCAGTGGCACCATCTCAGCTCACTGTAACCTCTGCTTACTGGATTCAAGTGATTCTTGTGCCTTGGCCTCTCTAGTAGCAGGGATTGCAGGCATGCACCGTGATGCCTGGCGAATTTTTGTATTTTTAGTAGAGAGAGGGTTTCATCATATTGTCCAGGCTGGTCTCAAACACCTGACCTCAGGTGATCCTCCTGTCTCAGCCTCCCAAAGTGCTGGGATTACGGGCGTGAGCCACTGAGCCCAACTTACATTTATTTATTTATTTATTTATTCATAATGGAGTTTCACTCTTCTTGCCCAGGCTGGAGTGCAATGGTGTGATCTTGGCTCACTGCGACCTCTGCCTCTCGGGTTCAAGTGATTCGCCTGCCTCAGCCTCCCAAGTAGCTGGGATTACAGGTATGTACCACCATGCCCAGCTAATTTTTGGATTTTTAGTAGACACAGGGTTTTACCATGTTGGCCAGGATGGTCTCAAACACTGAACCTCAGGGGATCCTCCCCAACTCAGCCTCCCAAATTATTGAGATTACAGGCACGAGCCACCGCACCCAACCGATTTTATCTGCTTTTTTGAGATAGCATCTCGCTCTGTCACCCAGGCTGGGGTGCAACGGCACGACTGCATTGCAGTTTGAGGTTTAACTTTCCAAGCACTCACACCACTGTTTCCTGGCCTGCCTTCTTGGATCTCTCCTTTGCGGCCACCATCCTTGCTTCCCTCCTTCCTCCCTGGCGACTCCTCCTCTGCCTCCTCTTCCTCCCTCTGCCTTTTGATCACCAGGGTCCCCCTTTTCCAGCCTCTTTCTAACGAGCCGCAGCTCCAGCTCTGGCTGGCCCTTACGTGACTTGGGCGGCAGCCTCCTTTCAAATTCTCCCCTTACCCCCCAGATGGATCCATTCCTACCCCTGGTGCCTGGACAAGCTCCTACTCTCTTTTCTGTCACTGCCCCCAAAAGTTTTTTTCGTGTCTCTGGTTTTCATCTGCCTGTAAATATAAACAAGTTGAGACAGTCTCTTGGCCTGGCTGGGCCTCCTTCTTGCTCCTGCATCTGGCCTCCCTCAGAGGAGGCAGAGGTGGGAGCCAGGCCAGAGACAGGGTGGAACGGGGGAGTGGGTAACCGCACAGCACAGGCTGTTCCAGCTCCCACTGGCAGGTACATTGAGGGAGGGAGACAGGGGTGTCTCATCTTTCATTTCTGAGCCTGCACCTTTCCTCTGACATATCTTGGGCAAGAAAAGACAAGAGCCAGCCCAGTGGGGGCCTTTCCAGGCATCTGAGTAAACATCGTATGTTGCTCCGCTGGCCCTGACGCCCCAGAGAGGATGCTATAAATCCAAGCTCCTGCTCGCTAGAGCCGGGGGGAGCCTTGGGGGATGGGATCCCCCATCAAACCCAGAAGCAAAACAGCCCAGGGTTCCCCATTCTTTGGAAGGGCTTACCATGCACAGTTTCTCATAGTACATGGATAAATGCTTATTTTAAAAATGTAAATAGTTACTGATCTTGTTGTCTATTGGAAAAGGAGAAATACCAAAGCAATTTCAAGCATGTGTCTCTGATCCTATTTTGTCATGTAAAAAAGTAGCAGAGTTTAAATAAAATAACAACTAAATCATAAAGTAGATCATTTTCTCCTTCCCTCCCTCCCTCCCTCCTTCCCTGCCTTCCTTCTTTCCTTTTATTCATCAATTATTCATGTATCCACCCACCCATATTTCTCATCTTCCTTCCTTCCTTCTACCCACCTTTCTACTCTTTTATTCATCAACCATCCCTCCATCCTTCCTTTCATCCATCCATCCTTCTACCCATCCATCCATACTTCCTTCTTTCCTTCATTCATCCATCCTCGTTTCTTCCATCAACCCATCCAGCTATCCATCTAGATTCCTTCTTTTTATTCATCCATCATTCATGTATCCATCCACCCACAGTTTTACCAATCTTTCCTCCCTTCCTTTTAGTCATCCATGATCCATTCATCCACCCAACCACCCTTCTGTTCATCCCTGCATCCATCCATGCATCCATCCATCCATCTTTCCTTCCTTCTACTAATCTTTCCTTGATTTCCTTTCTCTTTCCATCTACCCAGCCATCCATTCATCCCTCTATTGTTCCTTTCCTCCCTCTTCTTATTCCAGAACAGATTCCGGTTTCCTCATCTGTAAAACAGGATAATAACGACTCTGTAAGTTTCGATGAGGATTTCCTGAGATAATGTACACAAAGTGCCTGGTAAAATGCACGTGCTAAACAAAGGGGACTTGCTGCCACCGTTGTCATCAGCTCCCACCCGTCTCAGCAGTCAGACACATGCCTGATCATCCCCCATGGCAGAGAAGAAGTCTGGGTTCTCAGGTTTCCAGGATCCACTGCTGCTCTTGGTGGCGGAAGCCACAGCTCCAGAGTCAAAGGTCTGGATACATGACTTGGGCTCAGAGCCTGTGGAGAAAGGAGGAACAAGGTGTCAGGGATAAGCTGGGAGGGCTGAGGAAGCCAGGACCTGGATCCTGCATCTGTTGCTGCTTACTCCCAAGTAGCTGGGATTACAGGTGCCACTGCACCTGACTAATTTTGTATTTTTAGTAAAGTCACGGTTTCATCATGTTGGCCAGGCTGGTTTTGAACTCCTGACCTCAGGTGATCTGCCTTCCTCAGCCTCCCAAAGTGCTGGGATTACAGGTGTGAGCCACTGTACCTGGCTGCCTTCTTCTTTTTCTTTTTTAAATTAAAAATGACTTTTTAAAATAAGCTGATTTCTCTCTCTCTTTTCCCTTAGAGATGAAGTCTCACAATGTTTCCCAGGTTGGTTTCAAACTCCTGAGCTCAAGTGATCCTCCTGTCTCGGCCTCCTAAAGTGCCAGGATTACAGGTGCGAGCCACCGTACCCAGCCCTAATGCCCACATTTGTAGGACAGTCTCTAACGGTGGAGCTTGAGACTGCCTCTTCTTTTGGGGGTGAGGAGTGAGAAGCAGAGAGCTGAAAGTTGAGCCCCCCCAGGAGCCACATGCCCCAGGATCCACCTGCAGATGGAAATGAATAAGTCCCAAGAAGCTCAGCCCCAAAGCAATGACAAATTCCAGTCAATATCCCTTGCCCACAAATCATTTCATATAAATGGAATGATATAATATGTGGTCTTTTGTGACTTGTTGCTTTGACTTGACCTATCTTTTGAGTTTTGTCTATAATGTAGCATGTGTCAGTGCTTCACCTGTTTTAGGGCTGAATGCTATTCAATTGTATGGAGATACCACATTTTTTGTATCCACTGATCTGTTGTTGGACGCTCAGGCTGTTTCCACCATTGGCTTATTGCTAATCAGGCGGCCATGAATCATCTGTACAGATGTTTGCATGGATGTGTGTTTGCCATTGTCTTGGGTAGTCAACCTAGGAAGGGAATTGCTGGAACACATGCTCATCTGTGCTTCACTTTTTGAGGAACTGCTGTTATGCAAGCTCTTCTCTGAGACAGAGAAGATTCTGATACCATGAGCTAAGGCTTAATCTTAGTGTCGTAGACTGAGCTCTGTCAATTACCAACCACAATTCCCCCAAACAATTGCCAATCACATTTGTCACTGACCCTCGGTTTAGTTTTATAGTGACCCTCAGGTTTATAGAAATTGCCTTTCTATATAAACAGGTTTAGAGAGGTACACTGCCTTTACCAAGGTCATACCAATCTGGTATGGGGTAGAGCTGGGAGTCCAATTCAGGTATTTCTGAATTCAAAACAAGGGCTCATAATCACCAGACTATCCTGTGCTGTGTTGGGTTGGGCACAGAAATTTGCTGGTGATTGGATAAATGGGTAGATAAATAGATAGATGGATGGATGAGTGGATGGTTGAATGGATGAGTGGGTAGACAGATGGATGAATGAGTGGATAGATGGATGGATGAATGGTTGGATAGGTGGATGTGTGGGTAGGTGGATGTACGAATGAGTAGATAATTGGATGAATGGGTACATGGATGAATGGATGTTTGAATGGATGATGGTTGGATAGATCGAATAGTGGATGGATGGATGGATGGATGGAGTAGTAGATTGATTGATGAATGGATGGATGGTCAGATGGTTGAAGAGTTGGCTGATAGGCTGGTTGGCTGGATAGATAGTTGGATGGCTGCATGGTTGCATGGATGAATGAGTAGATAGTGGGATGGATAGGTTATATGGCAGCGTCCAGAGGCAGTGATGCATTACACTCAGGAGATGGCATTCTGAGGGGGTGAGGAAGGAGATGTAGAAGGAAGAGGGACAGAATTGTAGCAGAAAAGCCACACAGGAAGGAAACCTAGGTGAGAGGGGCACAGACTGCACTCACCAGACATGCACCAATAGATTGAGGAATGAATGAAAAAGCATGGGCAGAATGGGTCACAGGAGCAGTTGATGGGGAAGGGGTACTGGGACCCTTCACTCAAAGTCTCAGTTCACCTCTCCCAAGCCTTCCTTGCCTCCTCAAATGCAACCCCACCCTTTCCCCAGGAAATTCCTATTAGGTACCCAGACAGCCAATTACAGAACTTAAGAGGGTGACAAAAAGGCCATTCTTCCCTGCTCTCCAGGGCTAAAGGCAGGCGACACACTGCTAGGGAGTCGCTCTCCCAGGGGAGCTAAGCCAGAGGAGACATGAGGCCTCAGGGAAAGGGGCTCTGCTGGGGATGCACGCTGCTCCCCAACCCCTGCTCCTCTCCACGGAGCTGTCCATCAGCTGGGATTCAGGTCCCAGACAGCTTCCTCCACCACCAGCCCCCGTAGCATCAGCCATAAAAGGGTGTAAGAAGAGTCACTGTCAGTTCTCACAGCTCACTCCCTGACCTGCTTGCATATAAATCACAGCCTCAGTGGCTTGGGCAACCACAAGACGGCAGAACATCATTGGGACCTAGGTCACAGGCGGACACACTGGTGATCCCTGGTGGGTACATTGATGCTTCAGGATTGCCATCCACCATTGGATCTAAAAACCGTCCCCAGGCACTCCAGCAGCTCACACTGGCAGCTTTGTTCATCGATCAGAACGCATTGAAGTGGCCTCAGACAGAATTGGCTTCAAATCCCGGTTCCTCCCGCCTGTACTTGCTGTGTGACTTTGAGTAAGTCACTCAGCGTCTCTGAGCCCAACTTCATGGGAGCTCAATAGCTAGCAACAACTTCTATCATGATGATTACTCTTCAGTCGCATCCCAGTTCCCAGGCCATCCTCTGTCCCCTTAACCCCAGCCCCTGGGACCCCTGACATTCCCACCTGCTCCCTGACCCCAGCACTCTGTTCGCCATGAGCCTTCAAGGAGAGTCAGTGGGATGAATGAGCTAATGAATCTTCACATTGGCCCCCTCCTTCATGAAAACTCACTGCTACCTTGAACAAGTACTTGGCTCATGCAGGTGTTGGTGACTGTGACTAACAAGTCACGCAGGCTGACCAGGAGGGGCTCATACGAGCAGTGGGGAATGGGGAAGGAGGCAACCCACAATGCAGTGAGTGCATGACCAGCTCTCATGACATTGTCCGGCACTGCCCTCTCACGCCCTGCATACCTGGACATCTTCTGGCTATCTTCAAGGGCTAAACTCCTAAGCTTTAAGAAGTGTCTGTTTGATGTCCGGGTGTGGTGGCTCACGTCTGTAATCCCAGCGCTTTGGGAGGCCGAGGTGAGCAGATCACAAGGTCAGAAGGTCAAGACAAACCTGGCCAACGTGGTGAAACCCCGTCTCTACTAAAAATGCAAAAATTAGCCAGGTGTGGTGGCAGGTGCCTGTAATCCCAGCTACCCAAGAGGCTGAGGCAGGAGAATCACTTGAACCTGGGAGGTGGAAGGTTACAGTGAGCTGAGATAGAGCCATTGCACTCCAGCCTGGGCGACAGAGTGAGACTGGGTCTCAAAACAAACAAACAAACAAACGAACGAACAAAAAATAACAAAGAAAAAGTGTCTCTTTGAAACAACAGTTCACCCACGCATTTGATGATAAAATAAAGGGCGTTACCCGTCCCCATAATGATCAACCGAGGCCCCGGGGGCTCTGGGGGTTGAGAGAGCGTGCACTGGCCTGTGTGTGCGTGTGTGCGTGTGTGTGTGTGCGTGCGTGAGGGAGGTGTGTGTCCGAGAGTCTCTAATCCCCTTGTTTTTGTTTCTGCCCTGAGCCTCCTGTCCTGTAGCCGCACCTGAAACCAGCAGCATCTGGGACCCCCAGGAAATCACGGGCTGCCCCTGCGGCTGTTCAGCGCCTGAGTCGAGAGGGTGGGCTTTCTTTCTGCAAATTTACCTCCTGAGACAAGTTCCTGGCCGAGGCTTGGGAGATATTTCCTCCGAAACAGGAGAGAGCCCACAAATCCGTGATAATTCCACCGGGCCCTGGAGGATCGGGGGTCATGGAATCCAAGGCCAGTGCCGGAGGAGTCTGTGCCCCAGCCAAGAAAAAGCTCGAGGGGGGATGCGGGCAGGCGGAATCCCCGCCCGGGTGGATGGCGCCCGGGGGTCACTGCCAGCTGCTTACCTCTCTTGAAGGCCCAGCGTTTCAGCCACAGCTTGGAGAAGGCCGGCCAGGAGTGGTTGAGCAAAGAGTCAGCCATGGGGGCCATGCATGTATGTGAGAGCAAGAGTGCGAGCGGGGCTGGGAATCCCTGCCAGGATGGGGCTGCCAGTAAGAGGGGCGGGGACTGCCGCCAAGGACTGCCAGATGCATCAGCTGATGGAAGCTTGGGCTTCAGCATGGGGGCTGGGCTTTCCAGCTCAGGGACCCAGGGACCCCTGGTTTGAAGAGAAGCCAAGCCCTTTAGCACCCTCTGTCCCCTAAACCCAGTCCTACTGGTCTGTCCCCCTGGCTGGACAAGACAGTCCTCGGGGAAAACAAGTATCAGCTGGGTCCCACGGGCAGCCTGGGTGTGCACGGATGTCTGAGTGTTTGTGTGTGTGTGCGCCATCATCTCGGCGGGTTTCATGATGCGTTTACATGTTGTGTAGAGAGCACATGTTTTTGAGTTTGTGATTCTGTGTTTGAGGGTTAGTTTTGAAATATCAGCTTGTCAATGTGGGGGTGTATTTGATGATCTAGATAGCTTTAAAAGTGTCTCTGTGATTGTCTCTCTGTGCGTGCCTGTGTGCGTGTGTGTTTGAGAATGCCCATTGGTATCTGTGGGGTTGCATCTACCTGCATGACTCATTGGTGTCTGGGGGGATCTGTTTCTAGTATCTGGGAGGTGGTTTTGGTGTCTGCCTGCGTTTATATTTCTACGTATTTGTGTCTTTTATCTGTTTCTTTCTTTCTTTCTTTCTTTCTTTTTTTTTGAGACGGAGTTTTGCTCTTGTTGCCCAGGCTGGAGTGCAATGGCGCGATCTCGGCTCACTGCAAACTCCGCCTCCTGGGTTTAGGCAATTCTCCTGCCTCAGCCTCCTGAGTAGCTGGGATTACAGGCACGCACCATCATGCCCAGCTAATTTTTTGTATTTTTAGTAGAGACGGGGTTTCACCATGTTACCAGGATGGTCTCGATCTCTTGACCTCGTGATCCACCCACCTCGGCCTCTCAAAGTGCTGGGATTACAGGCTTGAGCCACCACGCCCGGCTTCTTTTTTTTTTTTTTTTTTTTTTAAGATGGGGTCTGCCTCTGTCACCCAGGCTGGAGGCCAGTGGTGTGGTCACAGCTCACTGCAGCCTCCAACTCCTGGCTCCAGGCATCCTCCAGCCTCAGTCTCCTGAGTAGCTAGGACTACAGGACTACAGGTGTGTGTCGCCACACTGGCTAAGTTTTGTACTTTGTTTGTAGAGCTGGGGTCTCACTATGTTGCCCAGGCTGGTCTCAAACTCCTGGGAGCAAGCGATCCTCCTGCCGCAGCCTCCCAAAGTGCTGAGATTACAAGCCTGAGCCACACCACCTTTTTTCTGTACCCAAGTGTGGGGTGTGGTGTGTGTCAACGAGCCCTCAAATGTGCAGATGCTGCCCCCTGGTGGTGAAAGCCCCCTTATCTGCGTCTTTTCTCCTTGTGTCTGAAAAATTCCTGCTTCAAATCCTGGCTTCAAATCCCAGCTCCCCCAGTGTGTACTTGCTGTGTGACTCCCTCCTGCTGTCCTCCAGTCCTTTACATTACTTCCCAGCCCCAAATCACCCCCACTGGTGAGAAGATCAAGAACTCCTCCTTCCTCACCTCCAGGCTGGATCTCCGGCTTCTCTTCTTAAAGAGTTATCTGCCCTTCTCTCTTTCTTTGACTCCGCAAGCCACTGAAGCCCTCTTTCCACCTTCCTAGCCTTGTAACTCTCTTTAGGGCAAAATCCAGTGCAGACTTTTCAGTGTGCCTCTTACAGGACGTCTCCAACTACTCCCTTCTTGAAATCTTATGATACCACAAGCTCTTCCTTCTTCTCTCTGCTCCTTCCAAGTCTCCCTTCCTAACTTGGCTTGTCTTCCATCTTCCTTTCTCTTTTTTATTTTATTTATTTACTTATTTTGAGACAGAATCTGGCTCTGTCTCCCAGGCTGGAGTGCAGTGCCACAATCTCGGCTCACTGCAGCCTCTGCTTCCCAGGTTCAAGTAATTCTCCTGCCTCAGTCTCCTGAGTAATTGGGATTACAGGCGCGCATCACCACGTGTGGCTACTTTTCTTTTCTTTCTTCTCTCCCCACCCCCCCAAAGAAAGGAACCCTAGGAAAGTGAGAAGGACATAATGCAATGCTTTTCTCACACAAACAAGTTGTTGATTTGAACACAGTTCTTGAGTGACTGGGAAGCAGACCCAAAAAAGCCTGAGAAGCTGAGTGCAGCTCTCAGCAACCTTATGTCGGGGAAATGAACATCGGAATCCAGGGCCCACAAAGAGGAGGTGATTGAGACCCCTGAAAGACTACAGCCTAGGAGCAAGGAGGGACCAGACATAGACTAGCCCTCACGGAGACCAAAATCCATCTCCAAGTCAGCGTAGCCATAATCAGAGTAAAGAGACCTTTCCTTACTCTAACTGCCTTCCTAAAGCAAAAGTAAACCCTCTGTGGAGGAGAAAGACATCATAAAGAGCCACAAATGATCTCTATAGTTTTTCACAAACAAGGCCTGCCTGGCATTTAATCCAAGATGACCAGGCATACTAGAAGACAGAACCTCATGACCAAAAAAAAACAGGAAGCAAAACAGACAATAGCAACAGCCTTATAGGAGATAAAGATGCTAGAGTTAAAAATACAGCAGGCTGGGTGTGGCAGTTTACACAGGTAATCCCAGCACTTTGGGAGGCCGAGGCGGGCAGATCACCTGAGGTCAGGAGTTTGAGACCAGCCTGGGCAACATGGTGAAACCCTGTCTCTACTAAAAATATAAAAATTAGCTGAGTGTAATGGTATGCACTTGTAATCCCAGCTACTCGGGAGGCTGAGGCAGGAGAATTGCTTGAACCCATGAGGTGGAGATTGCAGTGAGCCAAGGCTGCACCACTGCACTGCAGCCTGGGTGACTCTGTCTCACTCTGACTCAAAAAAAAAAAAAAAAAAAAAAAAAAAAGGGAAAATACAGTAGAATGTGATACAGGGCTGGGTGGGTAAGATCCTTAAGGAGTCTACTCTGACACACGTCCTTAGACATAGAGGTCCATCATGGGTGTTTGTATGACACAGAACATTTCAGAGGATGGTGGGGACTGCTCAGGAAGGAAGGCTTGGGGACAAGGTCAGAGTAGGAAGGCGTAGGTGAGGCTGACAGTGTTTTCTGATCTGTTACATGCCACACACTGTGCTAAGATCTCACAGACAAAACCTCCTAACAGGCAGGGCGAGGGGGCTCGTGGCTGTCATTCCAGCACTTTGGGGGCCAAAGCAGGTAGATCACCTGAGGTCAGGAGTTCAAGATCAGCCTGGCCAATATGGTGAAACCCCATCTCTACTAAAAATACAACAATTAGCTGGGCGTGGTGGGGTGCGCCTGTAATCTCAGCTACTTGGGTGGCTGAAGCAGGAGAATTGCTTAAACCTGGGAGGCAGAGGTTGCTGTGAGCTGATATTGCACCAATGCACTCCAGCCTGGATGATAGAGCAAGACTGTCTCAAACACACACACACACACACACACACACACACACACACACACACCACAAACTCCTAACAGCCTTTTTATAGATGAGCAAACAAAAGCTCAGGGCAGTTAAGTCACTTGCCCAAGGCCACATAGAGGCCAGGGAACTGGGATTTGAACGCCCAGCTGTCCAACACAGTCACCATGTCATCTACAACAGTATTGAGCATCAGCATATGTCCATCCCTGGCCACGGGCTGGGGGATGGCCAGGGAGGCATGGGAGACAGCCCAGACCAGAAGCACTGAAATGTTTGCAGTTGGCATTCTACTGGTTCTTCAAGGCACGCCAAAAAGGTTGCCCCTACCAGGAAGCCTTCCCGGAGGGCCTCCCAGTCACAGCAAGGGAGTTTAAACATGGCTGATTACGGGGCAACCCTTCCCTGACCTCCTTTGGTTGTCAAGTTCTTTTCTCAGAACATCAGGCGACCTGGCCTCGGAGTATCAGCTTCCAGTGTCACTCACCAGTTCCATCCTCTCGGGCCCCAGCCGTCCACTCTAGATTCGATCCCTCCTGGCTCTGGGGCCACCTTCCAGGCCTCAGGGTGCCTGAAGCCTGCTCGGCAGCATTGGGGGCTGGCAGGAAACAACAGACCTGGGCGTGGCCGGCACAAACCGCAGCCTTCCTCCCCCACCCCACCCAGTCCCAGGCAGGCAGCTGTGTGGGCTCCCTAAGAGGGGACCATGAGAGGAGCCAGGGGTGTCTCCCAAGGGGGAGAGCCCCTACCTGACGGAGGGCTGCCTGGGTGGAAGGTCATGCTCCCTGGACGTCGTGCTCAGGAGATCAGGACAAGAGACCTGTCTCAGAGCTGGCTCTCAGCCATCAGCCTTCAGTATGAGTTTGTTTTGACGGTAGATTTAGAATCTGCATCAAGGAGGTCCATGGGGGTGTGGGGGTGTCCCGGAATCTGTAGTTCCAGATGCAAGGACACCTGAGCCTTTGCCGCAGCTCCCACATTCTGTCCACTCTGTGTCTCCTGACCCCATGCAGGAGAGCCTTGGCTACAAGGAGCTCCATCCTCCTTTCTGTTGCTGCTGCTGCTGCTGCTTCTTTTTTTTTTTTTTTTTTTACTGAGAAGCTCACTACAACCTCCGCCTCCCGGGTTCAAATGATTCTCCTGCCTCGGCCTCCCAAGTAGCTGGGCTTACAGGCATCTGCCACCATGCCTGGCTAATTTTTGTATTTTTAGTAGAGACGGGGTTTCACCATGTTGACCAGGATGGCCTCCAACTCTTGACCTCAAGTGATCCGCATGCCTTGGCCTCCCAAACTGCTGGGATTACAGGTGTGAGCCACCACACCCGGCTTCCATTCTCCTTTCTTACTTAGTGGCCCCTCACAGATCCCGGTCCCCTGGGGTGACCCCTTATGACCACAAATCTCTGCACAATGAACTCGAGAGTCAAAAGCATCCCCCATCCGCTCAGGAAGCGAGGTGATAGCAAGGTGGAGAGAGACAGTGATGGTCTGTCTGCTCGCTGTCCCCTTAGACTTCCCAGACCCCGCTGCCAACCACTCTCTCCCGATGGGCCCCTCTCTCTGCACGTCAGGGTAAGTACTTACCAGATGGAGCTCGGTTCTGCGACCTGCACGCACCCAGCCTGGCTACCAGCTCCTGCCGTCCCCATGACCTATGGCCAGGGTTTTGAGCTGGCCCAAGGGAACTCCTGGCTGGGTAGAGCCTGGGATAACCACAGAGTGACCCAACAGCACCCGGCTTCCTCTTTCTCAACGGCCTGCCTGCGTGCCTGCCACTCCGCTCGCAGCTGCAGGCCAATCCAGGGGTCTGAGAAGAGCACAGAGGATGGGGGTTCTAGAGGCAGAGGGCCCTGCTCCCACCCCTCAGCCCTGTGCATGCAGGTGTCTTGGGGAGGAGGGGTGGGGAGCTGGGGAGAGGCCCAGCGTCCTCAACCCCCACCCCAGCAGCTTCCTGTGGCACCAACTGCTGAAGAGGAACAGGGTGTGGGGGCCTCACCCAGGCACACGGGTGTATAGACAGCACCCTGTGGGGACATGTAAGTCATGTGTATCCGAGGAGACACAGGCACCCAGACAAACCCCAGCCGGGTGGGTGCACACTGAGATTCGGAAACACGCATGGTTACACCGTTTTGTGGGCTCCAGGAAGCTGGCAGAACAACCTGGTGTGCTGGTAACGTTTAACAACCACCTCTCTGATCTGCAGCCATTGCCGATTCTCCGGGTGTAAATGCTCCCAGCATGGCTGATTTCACCTACCAGTGTGATGCCACTGAGTGTGGAGTTGGTAGGCCATGCTCAGATTTGGCTCTTAAAAAAAAAAAAAAGTTTATTTTATTTTTAGAGATAGGGTCTCATTCTGTCACCCAGGCTGGAGTGCAGTGGTGAAATCATAGCTCACTGCAGCCTCAATCTCCTGGATTCAAATGATCATTCTGCTTCAGCCTCCTGAGTAGTTGGGATTACAGGCACATGCCACCATGCCTGCTAAGTTTTAATAGATAATTTATGTATTTTATATATATATATATATATATATATATACACTTTAATTATATAAAACTACACAGCTAAGTTTGTTAATTTATGTATAATTTATATATATATACTTATATATAATATATATGTATATACCTGTATGTAATTTTTTATATATAATTTTTCTGTTGAGACAGGCTCTCACTCTGTCATCCAGGCTGTAGTGCAGTGGCATGATTTTGGTTCACTGCAACCTCCATCCCCTGGGCTGAAGTGATCCTCCCACCTCAGCCTCCTGAGTAGCTGGGACCAGAGGCACACATCACCATGCCTGGCTATTTGGGTATGTGTGTATTTTTAGTAGAGACAGGGTCTCGTCATTCGCTTAGGCTGGTCTTGAACTCCTGGGCTCAAGCAATCCACCCGCCCTGGCCTCCCAAAGTGCTAGGATTAGAGGCATGAGCCACTGTGCCCAGCCTAGGTTTAGATTTTTTTTTTTTTTTTTTTTTTTAGTTTTTATTTTTGTAGAGACTCAGGGATCTTACTCTGTTGCCCAGGCTGGTCTTGAACTCATGGGCTCAAGCAATCCTCCCACCTTGGCCTCCCAAAGGGCTGGGATTACAAGCGTGAGCCACCATGCCTGGCCTCATAATCTATGCTTTTGAGGTCGCTTTTGTCTACTGAATCTGTCGGGAGAAATACTGTAGATTGGTGTGCTGCTGCACGTCTTTCCGACTCACGGTTCTGTGGCATCACTTGAAACTGGCTGTGGCGAGAGTATTTTCACCGTGAGAACTGGCAATGTTGTAATTCAGTGCTCTCCACTTGAGAGGTGGTTGTTCAGCATTTGCCAACACACCACTGCACAGCGGTACCCACAGCTGGTCTTGAGCTGCTGAACAATCACGCCTCACACATGGTCACACACAGGCACGGGGACTTACAGAGGCAGGCGCAAGTGTGCACACCTAGACGTAGGAGCCACCACACACAGAGGACACCAGACACACACATGTGCACAACTGCTCTGCACAACGGGGCTGCAGCTCCTGGAAAACATGAAGCTCAAGGACACACACAAGGAGAGGCAAACACAGACACGTGCTCACAGGCACAACTTCACACATGAGCATGCAGTTCCATGTAGACATGCAGAACGGGCATGTAGACACACACAACAAACACCGCTGGACATGTATGTGGACTCGCAATCACAGTCACACAGATCACACACACACACACACACACACACACACACACACGAGCAGACGCTGGCTGGGCACAGTGTCTCACACCTGTAATCCCAGCCCTTTGGGAGGCCGAGGCAGGTGGATTACCTGAGGTCGGGAGTTGGAGACCAACCTGGCCAACACAGTGAAAACCTGTCTCTACTAAAAATATAAAAACCAGCTGGATGTGGTGGAAAGTGCCTGTAATCCCAGCTACTTAGGAAGCTGAGGCAGGAGAATAGCTTGAACCGGGAAGGTGGAGGTTGCAGTGAGCCGAGATTGTGCCACTGCACTCCAGCCTGGGTGACAGAGTGAGACTCCGTCTCAAAAAACAAACAAACAAAAACAAAACAAAACAACAACAACAAAAAAGAGCAGATGTTGGCCACCTCTGAGAACACCCATGGAGACCCTGACTTGCACACTGGTTGCCACGGGACCCCACAAAGTCACAAACACACAGACCTGGAAAACCCTCACCACAAATACTCAGTGACCCATGGCTCCATACTGTCCCCAGGGATACATGCGGGGCCACTCACAGAACCACCCCAACGAGACACAAGGAGACACAGACATACACAGATTTGTACACACCCATTTCTGTAACCAACTGATTATTTCTTTCATGCAACATGCATTTATTGAGCACCTACTGTATCCCAGGCACTGTGGCAGGTATAGGATCACGGTGAACAAGACAGACACAAAACGCCTTCGCCCTGCAGGAGCTCCAGTTGGGGGAGGCAAACAGTGAATCAATCAGGAAACATACCTAGGAGATAAATTTAGATGCTGTGAATTGCCACAACAGGAAGTAAACAGCGTGGTACAGCTGAGTGTGTCGGGGAGGTGTTCGCTTGAGCTGGAAGATCAGGGAAGGCCATTTGAGCTGAGATGCGTAAGCTCAGAAGAAGTCGGGCATATAAATCAAGGTCTAGCTGGGCTCAGTGGCTCACACCTGTAATCCCAGCACTTTGGGAGGCCGAGGCGGGTGGATCACCTGAGGTCAGAAGTTTGAGACCAGCCTGGCCAGTATGGGGAAACTCCATCTCTACTAAAAATACAAAAATTAGCTGGATGTGGTGGTGGGTGCCTGTAATCACAGCTACTCAGGAGGCTGAGGCAGGAGAATCACTTGAACCCAGGAGGTGGAGGCTGCAGTGAGCTGAGATCATGCCACTGTACCCCAACTTGAGTGACAGAGTGAGACCCGGTCTTAAAAAAAATTGGGGGGAAAGTTATTCTAAGGCTTGGAGGCAAGACCGAGCTTGGGGTGTTTGAGGAACAGGAGGAGGCAGGTCTGGCTGGAGTCAGGCTGGAGGAGGACCGACATGGGACCCAAGGTGCTGGGATTACACCATGTTAGTCAGACTGGTCTTGAACCCTTGACCTCAGGTGATCCACCTGCCCTGGCCTCCCAAAGTGCTGGGATTACAGGCGTGAGCCACTGCGCCTGACCTTATTTTACTTTTTGTAGAGACAGGGTCTTGCTATATTGCCCAGGCTGATCTCAAACTCGTGGGCTTAAGTATTCCTCCCACCTCAGCCTCCCAGAATGCTGGAATTACAGACATGAGCCACCACTGGAAGGTGTTAAGCAAGGGCCTGTGAACCCATTCTGCTTTCGGCTTTAAAAAAGATGCCCTTTTTAGGCCAGGCGTGGTGGCTCATGCCTGTAATCCCAGCACTTTGAGAGGCCGAGGTGGGTGGATCACAAGGTCAGGAGTCTGAGACCAGCCTGGCCAACATGATGAACCTTGTCTCTACTAAAAATACAAAAAAATTAGCATGGTGTGGTGGCGCATGTCTGTCATCCCAGCTACTCGGGAGGCTGAGGCAGGAGAGTCGTTTGAACCTGGGAGGCGGAGGTTGCAGGGAGCCAAGATTGTGCCAGTACACTCCAGCCTGGGTGACAGAGGGAGACTCGTCTGGAGGTGGGAGGGGAAGATGCCTCTTCTTCCAGCCGTAGCTGCTATCATCGAGATGGCCACGCAGGGGCAGCACTTCCCCGTGGCTTCTTCTCTGGCCAGGAGACCACAGAAAGAAAAACAGAAAAAAAAAAAAAAAAAAAAAAAAAAAAAGACCAGTATGGAAAGCTAGAAGGCTTACAGAGGCCAGGCAGCAGCGTGAGTCAGTGAGAACCATGGGATGTGAGATACAGGTTTACCCTTCCTTCTATCACATTTATTTTTTTCTTGTAAAGGAGTGGTTTCACTATGTTGCCCAGGCTGGTCTCAAACTCCTGGCCTCAAGTGATCCTTCCTCCTTGGCCTCCCAAAGTGCTGGTATTACAAATGTGAGCCACCACACCTGATCTCTTCTCGCACGTTTGACAGAGACATGGCATAGTGAAATGTTCCTGTGCTGTTGAAAACTACATAATTTCAGATGGATTAAAAATAAAATGTGAAAAATAAAGCAATACAGATCATAGAAGAAATTTACAAGGCTTTTTTACAATTTAGGATTGAAAACATGCTTTATTTGAAATTGTTTTGTGTGTATGTTTTAACTAAGACAGAAAACCCAGAAGCCATGAAAGAAAACACAGAAATGCTTTATACGTAAAAATATATATAAACGTGGCCGGACATAGTGGCCCACACCTGTAATCCCAGCACTTAGGGGAGGCTGAGGAAGGTGGATCACTTGAAGTCAGGAGTTAGAGACCAGTCTGGTCAACACGGAGAAACCCCGTCTCTACTAAAAATACAAAAATCAACCAGGTGTGGTGGTGTGCGCCTGTAATCACAGCTACTCAGAAGGCAGGAGAATCGCTTGAACTCAGGAGGCAGAGGTTGCAGTGACCTGCAATCTCACCACTTCACTCCAGCCTGGGTGACAGAGTGAGACCCTGTCTCAATAAATAAATAAATAAATAAATAAATAAATAAGTGAAAAACTGAGCACAGTGGCTCACGCCTATAATCCCAGCACTTTGGGAGGCCAAGGTGGTCGGATCATGAGGTCAGGAGATCGAGACCATCTGGCCAACCTGGTGAAACCCCGTCTCTACTAAAATACAAAAAATTAACTAGGCGTGGTGGGGTGTGCCTGTAGTCCCAGCTACTCGGGAGGCTGAAGCAGGGGAATTGCTTGAACTGGGAATTGGAGGTTGCAGTGAGCTGAGATCGTGCCACTGTACTCCAGCCTGGCGACAGAGCAAGACTCTGTCTAAAAACAAACAAACAAGAAAACCTATATAAACATATGTTAAAAATCTTATAGTAAAAATATCTTAAATATAACTAACAGAATAATTTTATAAATTATCAGAGAAATATACATGAAAGCAATACATAAAGATGAATGGGTTGCTGGAGAAGGGTTAGTACCTTCATATGCAAAGAGTTTTCACACATTGATAAGAAAAAGATGCAACAGAAATA